ACCAGTTAACAAAACAACCATTGACGTGCAAACCTTGCTGCCTTCAGCTCTGCCCAGGGACGTGTAATGGATGGTTTCAAGACAGTGAGCAAGGATATTCGTAAATTATTCACTTTGTAATGAAAGACGAAGAGCTGTGTCTTCTCTCTCACTGTGGTCTGAGGGTTCTGTGTTGGGAAAGTTTTGCATTTAGCAGCAGTGCAGAAGGGCTGGCAGTTCTGTTCTCTTTGTAAACATTGAATTATAAAATCCCCATGAAGTTGATAAAAAGCATTATCTCGCGTTTACAGATGGGGATGCAGTGGGAAAGTTCCAATATGAAGCCCAAATGGCAGGACAGAGGTCACGGGCAGCGTCTGTCTCTCAGGCAGGGCTGAGTGTGGAGGTGATTGCTTTCAGAGCACAAATCGAATCTAGTTTTTCCCCACAATTGCAATTACTCCTACAGTACTCTCGGAAAGCTTGAAACTTCTGTCCGTGTAATTGCAATAACCTTAAAGGCCAGTCAAGAGGCAACTTTAAATTGCATTAATATTCTTACAGTTGAAAGAATAACTGTGCAAGGAAAGGAGCTACTAATAGTGCCTTGACATGACATTAACCTTGACATGAGTATGTTGTCAAGACCACAGCAGCCCCACAGCTAGGAGCTAAAAAGCTTTTATGAGAGACTCTGAGCAATTTCCCTCTGGAGAGGCAGATGTTGACTTTATACAGTAAACAATTATGAAGAAATAATAACATTATCTGCAGATCAGAGCAAGCCTAGAAGCCATCCTGTCCACAAAATTAGCTGGCAGGTCTCCATGGTCCCCAAAGGGGGACAATTGGGAACAGAGATCTATAAAGGGAGAGGAGCTGAGTGATTTGCTTTCTTCAGCCATTTTTAACTTCATTAAAGGGACATCTTCCTGCCACAGGACTTTAATGCTTCGTGGAGAAACCTACTTTCATCAATATAGAGAAGCATTCCCCTCTCTAAGGGCATTCATGTCAAAGGCGAGTGCAAGAGGAGCTCTGCATTTGGGAAGCTCTTTATTTTCCTCTGGCCAGTGCTTTCCTGAGCTCCTTCCTTCTGTGTAAAATTAATGGCATGTTTACAGATGCTCGGTAATGCTGTTATGTGTCTCTGTGTGCCTGTTGCTTGTAT